AGCAGCGGTTTGTCTGTCAGAGGGATCGATTCCCAGCTCCTCTGGTTCAGCAAGATGCATCCATCAGAGTGAATATTAGATAAAGCACCTGAGCACAGATAAAACTGGTGCATGAATGTGTGTGAGACTGGGTGAATGACACTTGGCAGTATATAAGTACCAGCCCATATAAAAATCTTCGGTGCCAGCTTAATCGAAAATCACCAGGACCAGAAATATTTATAGCCCTATGTGGGGTTTAATTTACTCAACATTAAATCTTTTTTTGTTGTTGTTAACAAAGCAGCCAACAATCTTGTTTTGTAAGGTGTTAACTGCACTCGGACCAGTTGGCTTGTTTTAAATCAGGAAATCTCTGAAATAAGGAGGAAAAATGCAAGGAGAGGAGAAATCTCGGGCCAACAGACCCAGAGGATGTCTGGGTACACTGGGAGGGGAGGAAAGGAGAAAGAAAAGGAGAAAGGAAGGCAGCAAGGAGACAACTCACTCTTCAGAGATCAGCCTCAAGATGCAAAGATGCATCACACTGTTTGTTTTCATTTTCCAGTGAGGTGCACAATCTGGAAGTACTGCATGTAAATGTGTGTAATTATGAAAGAAACTAGAGTGGAGATTATTAGTGCCACGGATCTCTCTCTCACACTCACACACACACACACACACACACAGAGCGGAGGGCAGTCTCAGGTACTTACATAGGTTTTCCCGTGAGGCTTGTGTGCACGTGCTGCTGGAAGTCTGGATATTTGGATGCCAGATAAGCGAAGTCAGGTGGTTTGTCCTTGTAACGGTTCCGAGGATGCATGGACTTATTCAGAGCCATTATTGAGCCCTGATGGTGGACATGAGGTGACATCAACAGTGCTGAACTTTCACTTTTGGATCACTGACATCGGCAGTGTAAACAGCAACACTAAGGCTGCACACACACACACAGACACGAACTCACAGCAGTAAAAGTTGATGTTAGACAGAAAAACAAATGTCTGACATTTTTAAAGGAGCACAAACAGACGGGGTTAGCGGAGCTGCCCCTGCTTACCGTCACAGAGCTCAGCCTGTAGCTGCTAATATTTCCTGACCTTCGCTTACTTTTTAAAGCGGAGAAAAACACTACACAGATCACGTTGCACAAACGTTTTCCCACTTTCTGCAGCTCACTTCCTGTACGCCTGCTACGTCACATATCCACGTCGCAGCGCGTTGACGTCACCGAAACGGTGTTTAGCTTCGAGCCTCTACCGGTAAAAGTTTGTCTGTTTGTGTGGGTTTTTTAAGGAATAATTTTTCATGTCAGTTTTATAAAATCACTTAAGTTTTGTATCGATACATTTAAATTTGATTAAAAACAAATATAAAAAATAATTAAAATGATCCTGTTTAGCGTTTTCATTATGTTCAGTCCTGAGCCCTGGTCTGTTTTACGTTTCCCGTGTACCGTTTTCCCCGGTTGCTCCTTACCGTCGTGCACCTGTCATTTTATTACGCATTTGTAATTCGACTTTGGTTCATATTGATATGACAGCATCACACACTTGCTGCAGATTTCTTGGTTGCACGTCCCAAAGGTGCTCTGTTGAACTTTGTAACATGGCACACACTGTGGGTACACATGGTCAGCAACAATACTCACACAGGCTGTCGTGTTTAAACAATGCTCAACTGGTACTAAGAGGTCCAACGCGTACCAAGAAAACATCCCTCACGCCGTTACACCGCTACCAACCTGAACTACAAAGCAGGATTGCTCTATTTGAATCCATGGAGGATCAGACCTGTTCCCGTCTGAACCCTCCTTCAGACCACACAATGTTTTCCAGTCTTCTGTTGTCCAATTTTGGTAAGACTGTGAAAATTGTAACCTCAATTTCCTGTTTTTAGCTGACAAAAGTGGCACCTGGAGTGGTCTTCTGCTACAGCACAGATGGTCTTTTGCTTGCCTTGGTTGTAAG